GACGGACCACCAGGACGGATTGATAGGACCACCAGGACGGATTGATAGGACGGACCGCCAGGACGGACCACCAGAAGAAACCAATAGAGGAAAAGAAAGAGACTTGCAGGCATTCCTTTTATTTAGAACTCAGTTCCCCTTTTAGTGAAATTTCCACGAAAAAGTCTGCAACATTTATGCTACTTTTGTATGTGTTAGTATAAGCCAACTCGTAAAATCCTGCTGTGGAAGTACGATTTATAATGAATAATGACTTTAGCGGACTTGTACTAAAAGTTAGCTTCGGGCGAATTTGACGACAGTGCAAGGCCGTCGATATGAAGTCTTCGGTTAATGTTATGAATAAACCAATTTATGGAAAATGATTAATAATAAAAAAACCCGTCCGCCCGCATGATTTAAAAAAAGTGGGACAATAAATATGTTTTCTTTTTACTTGACCTTTGCATGATGATTGGCAGAAATGCTAAATTACAATAATTAAAATGACTGAAATTAAGGAAAGTACTATTAAAGCAATAGTAGTGTTGGACCACAAGGGACCGTCGCGGCAGTGAAAACGTACCTCTTAGTTGTTCGATTCTCTTCTTTATTCTAGCACAGTTGCTTAATGCTCTGGACGGACTAACTAACTACTACTCGTTACATTGCTTGATATATGTTTTACAGAATTAGACAAAACCCAAATAATAATTTGATATTAACTAAAACAATAACCAATTATGGCATAACTCCATACTGAGGGGAATTCCCCGTTTATGACGACCTTGGCTTATGCTACAAATATCGACCATGTGAACATTATTTAAACTGCGTCATAAACTTAAACTAAAATAATTACTTATAAAAATACAATAATAATAATATTTGAACATTTCACATTCTTTCCGTAAATTCAATATTGGTCTTAACCTTACAACATAACAATTGCTGGACATTAAAGCTACTGCTAATCCAAAACTATTTTTCCTGGTAATCTAAAACTACAAGTACATGACTTGACATATTTCAATTTCTAGACCAAACTATAAAACTGCTGATGAATCACTTAAACTGCGATCTACTATTAACTTATTAACATTGCATTAGCTAAATGTCAGGGAGACGTAGTCTAACAGTAGGAAATATATCAATGTAATTTCATTGCTTCAGGTGTTTTTACGCGTTGGACAAAGAGTGAACAACGTTTTCATTAATTGTGAGTTTGAAAGAGTAGCAACTGAGAAAAACATAAAAATGTTAGATATTTGGTAAATAAAAATGGAAGGTAGGTAAAAACGATGATGGCTGACCTAAGGTCTTCGAGGGTCAGACGGGCGTAATATGACCGAATTAATGCATGGATCTGATCCAGCGAGACTAATGTTTTCACCGTTACCGTATAGCAAACGTTACTACTGGTGTGCAATTATTTGTCTTACAATTTTGTCCAATTAATCCGTCCAATTATTCCATCCTATTTAATCCTTTCTAGTGGTTCGTCCTTTTAATCCGTCCTTCTGGTCTGTCAAATTAATCCTTCCTGGTGGTCCGTCCTGGTGGTCCGTCCTGGTGAACCGTCCTGGTGGTGAACTGTCCTGGTGGTGAACCGTCCTGGTTGTCCGTCCTGGTGGTCCGTCCTGTTGGTCTGTCCTGGTGGTCCGTCCTGGTGATCCGTCCTTGTGGTCCGTCCTGGTGGTCCGTCCTGGTTAACCGTTCCTGGTGGTCCGTCCTGGTGGTCCGTCCTGGTGATCCGTCCTGCTGTTCCGTCCTGG